CGTTTGGCAGTGCGTCGCCCATATCGCCCTATTGAACAGGCCGCCCCTGCCCAGCACCACCGGATACGCAGGCGAGTCGATCAGAAATAGCTGGATCATCTCCTGATGACCCCCCTGCGCACACATCCTAAGTGGCGCAGTGACCTCCCTGATCAAGCCGCACCCAACGGACGGCTATCTAGGGCATGAACGGGGAAGGGAACGTCCACAGGGAGAAGGGGAATCCCTAAGGCTAAACAAAACTTCTTATCAACAAAATTCCCAGCCGCGCCTGAATCTACCAGCGCCTTGGGAATGAGGTGCTACCTGTGGAAAACGCACAGATATACAGAAATGTGCAACAGAGAGCTCTGGGTGAGTGGGGCGCCTACTCACCTGGAAGGACTCCCCAGTGCGGGACCTGTCGTTCTCTCCCCGAGGCCATCCCCAGCACCTAGCCGCGGTGTGTCCTCCCCGACCACAGTTGGTGCAGGAGATGGACCCCCTCGTAAGCCGACCCCTCCTCTCTCTAGCGCCAGCGCCCCCGAGCTCCATGGGGCACGGCTCGGAGGCGCTGGAGGGTGAAATGGACGGACCCCCCTCGGAACGTCCGCGGGTAGCTAGCAGGGTATCCAGCCTGATGGACATGTCGACCAACTGGTCGAACGAGAGGCTGGTGTCCCTACAGGCCAGCTCCCTACGGACGTCCTCGCGTAGACTACATCTGTAGTGATCAATGAGAGCCCGCTCATTCCACCCTGCATCCGCCGCTAGGGTACGGAACTCCAAGGCGAACTCCTGGGCACTCCTCTTCCCCTGCCTGAGGCCGACCAGACGCTCCCCCGCCGCTTTCCCCTCCGGGGGATGGTCAAACACCGCCCTGAAGCGGCGGGAGAACTCGTCGTAGGTGATGGTGTTAGCGTCGATCCTCCTCCACTCTGCGTTGGCCCATTCCAACGCCTTCCCGGAGAGGCAGGAGATCAGGGCGGACACACTCTCGTGTCCCGAGGGCGCCGGGTGCACGGTGGCCAGGTAAAGCTCCACCTGGAGAAGGAATCCCTGACACCCGGCCGCGGTCCCATCGTAGGCCCTCGGGAGCGAGAGTCGAACTCCTCTGGGTTCCGGAGCGGGAATGGGCTGAGTGGCCGATGGTGCGGGCAGGGAGGATGGCGGTGGAGGAGTCCCTCGGGTCTCCCAGCCTCGGATGGTGGTGATCACCTCCTGCAGTGCGGACCCCATCCGCAGGATCTGGTCATTCTGCTCACGGACCCTGTCCTCCAACGTCGCCTGTGCTGCTGCGGCTCCTGCTGATTCCATCGAGTATGGTGTGTGATTCTGTCAAGGTAGATGTAGGTGGGTGTGGGTGGAATCAGGCGCAGGACGCAGTACGTTAGTCCAACAGACTTTAGTGATGCACAGCAAAACAAACACGAAATAACTGCCCTGAGGCAAAAGCTCCGCACGTAGGCGAAAACACAAGCGCACAAACAGGTGCGACAAAATACTCCAAAACTAAGGAGCAAAATAGCTCAACCGAGCAAACAGTAATAATCCAGCCTACCGGCACGACAGTAAAACAATCACACACAACACTAGACAAACACAACGAGAACTTATAGGACACTAATTACACTAAACGATAACAGGTGTACAACAATCAGACAAAAGCAAACAAACATAGAAACATACAACGGTGGCAGCTAGTATTCCGGAGACGACGAACGCCGAAGCCTGCCCGAGCAAGGGAGAGAGGCAGCCTCGGCCGAAACCGTGACAATGAGGTCTGTAATTTTTATCGTAGGTACACTTCAACTGTGAGAGACGGAATCTAAAACAAAAATCCAGAAAATCACATTGTATGATATTTAAGTAATAATTTGCATTTTATTGCATGACATAAGTATTTGATACATCAGAAAAGCAGAACTTAATATTTGGTACAGAAACCTTTGTTTGCAATTACAGAGATCATACGTTTCCTGTAGGTCTTGACCAGGTTTGCACACACTGCAGCAGGGATTTTGTCCCACTCCTCCATACAGACCTTCTCCAGATCCATCAGGTTTCGGGGCTGTCGCTGGGCAATACAGACTTTCAGCTCTCTCCAAAGATTTTCTATTGGTTTCAGGTCTGGAGACTGGCTAGGCCACTCCAGGACCTTGAGATGCTTCTTACGGAGCCACTCCTTACTTGCCCTGGCTGTGTGTTTCGGGTCGTTGTCATGCTGGAAGACCAAGCCACGACCCATCTTCAATGCTCTTACTGAGGGAAGGAGGTTGTTGGTCAAGATCTCGCGATACATGGCCCCATCCATCCTCCCCTCAATACGGTGCAGTCGTCCTGTCCCCTTTGCAGAAAAGCATCCCCAAATAATTATGTTTCCACCTCCATGCTTCACGGTTGGGATGGTGTTATTGGGGTTGTACTCATCCTTCTTCTTCCTCCAAACACGGCGAGTGGAGTTTAGACCAAAAAGCTCTATTTTTGTCTCATCTGACCACAACACTTTCACCCAGTTCTCCTCTGGATCATCCAGATGGTCATTGGCAAACTTCAGACGGGCCTGGACATGCGCTGGCTTGAGCAGGGGGACCTTGCGTTCGCTGCATGATTTTAATCCATGACGGCGTAGTGTGTTACTAATGGTTTTCTTTGAGACTGTGGTCCCAGCTCTCTTCAGGTCATTGACCAGGTCCTGCCGTGTAGTTCTGGGCTGATCCCTCACCTTCCTCATGATCATTGATGCCCCACGAGGTGAGATCTTGCATGGAGCCCCAGACCGAGGGTGATTGACAGTTCTTTTGTGTTTCTTCCATTTGCGAATAATCGCACCAACTGTTGTTACCTTCTCACCAAGCTGCTTGGCGATGGTCTTGTAGCCCATTCCAGCCTTGTGTAGGTCTACAATCTTGTCCCTGACATCCTTGGAGAGCTCTTTGGTCTTGGCCATGGTGGAGAGTTTGGAATCTGATTGATTGATTGCTTCTGTGAACAGGTTTCTTTTATACAGGTAACAAGCTGAGATTAGGAGCACTCCCTTTAAGAGTGTGCTCCTAATTTCAGCTCGTTACCTGTATAAAAGACACCTGGGAGCCAGAAATCTTTCTGATTGAGAGGGGGTCAAATACTTATTTCCCACATTAAAATGCAAATCAATTTATAACATTTTTGACATGCGTTTTTCTGGATTTTTTTGTTGTTATTCTGTCTCTCACTGTTCAAATAAACCTACCATTAAAATTATAGACTGATCATTTCTTTGTCAGTGGGCAAACGTACAAAATCAGCAGAGGATCAAATACTTTTTTCCCTCACTGTACATTCTCCATTGATCCGAGGTCCTGGCAGTTGTGTGCAGACTCAGGACAACAGAGTTTTGGAGAAATATGCATATCAAATCAAATCATCATTATTTGTCACATGCGCCGAATACAACAGGTGTAGACCTTACTGTGAAATGCTTACTTACCTTAACCAACAATGCAGTTTAAAAAAAAATGTTTTTACAACCGAACTGAGGCTGAGCGTATGCAACTGTGAGTTCAGAGACACTGAGGATCTAATGCTAAAGGTCAAAATTGTGTTTAGCGTCACAACCACTGGGCTAGGAGATAAACTACTTTCCATTCCATACAACCCTAGCTAAAGCCATAGAGGTTTGCAATATAAGTTACAATCGCTCAGGCTAAAGCTATGTCAGCTAGCAGTAGCACAGAACTGTTTGTGCATGCTATGGGATAAAAAGGTTGCCAAAAGGCTCCTTAACAGCTTCTACCCCCAAGCCATAAGAATAATGAACAATTAATCAAATGGCCACCTGGACTATTTACATTGACACTCCCCCCACTTTGTTTTTACACTGCTGCTACTCGCTGTTTATTATCTATGCATTGTCACTTTACCCCTCCCTACATGTAGCTCAGTTGGTAGAGCATGGAGCTTGAAACGCCAGCGTTGTGGGTTCGATTCCCACGGGGGGCCAGTATGAAAAATGTATGTACTCACTAACTGTAAGTTGCTCTGGATAAGAGCATCTGCTAAATGACTAAAATGTAATGTACAAATTACCTCAACTAGCCTGTTCCCCCGCACATTGACTCGGTACCCCCCTGTATATAGCATCTTATTTTATTTTATTTTGTTACTTTTTATTTTACTTATTTTTTACTTTAGTTTATTTAGTAAATATTTTCTTAACTCTATTTCTTGAACTGCATTGTTGGTTAAGGGCTTGTAAGTAAGCTGTTGTGTTCGGAGCATGTGACAAATACAATTTGATTTGATTTTAAATCTGTCTCCCTCCAGCAGGTACGTTTTTTCGTTGTTTCGCCCACCAAGCAATGAGTTTTTGAATGGAGGTCAATGATATAGTGTCCAACTTGGTCAACAACAAAAATAAATGGCTTATTTGCTACGCGAGGTTTATTTGATATATACCTTTCGTAATGCTTAAGTTGTTACGGGTGTACTGATATAAGTAGGGCGACATCCCGGCAACTTTGAGAAAAACACTTTATATCGGAGTTGTAAATGCATATTCATGAAATAAGGCTTGGAGGCGGTTGCCATCAACAACCCTCATCGAATATTCAAAAATGGATTACAATAATGATATGTATCCACCAATCCAAATAAAGGATATGCGGGAGCTAGACAGCCCGCGGTGCCGCTTTGTGGACGACTCTCTCCATGTTTATTGCGGAGTCGAGACATCTATCTTGTCTGTATATCCATATGCTTTGATAATTTGCCTATATTCTCGCGATGATTACAAAATAAGCCGTTTCAGTCGCCACAGACAGACAAAATAGCGCGCGGGCGGCGTCGGGGATAAATAGTTTCAGCTGTCAAGTCGAGCGTATGTTAACAAGGCAACCGGGAGTTTGGAGTGCAGGCAGAGTTGCAGCTTTATCGAGTTTTGCTTTTTGCATTATAAAATAAACGTTTACAAAATAGAGGTGCAGCGCGTACCAGCTAGTTGTGAACATTGACAACCACTCCAGTGACCTAGCGCATGTGGAATGGCAGCTCCCCGGCAGATAAAAGGTATTCTGAAGAACAAGAACAGCGGGACAGGCAAGGTGGGCCCGGCGGAAGAAGTGCCAGTAGAGACTCCCGAACAAGCGGCACTTGGATTTCTGGAGGATGACCCACAGTGAGTAGATAGATAGTCAGCTTAGATTCTTGACACTGACAGTCAGGCTAGGTAGCTATGGCTAGCTAGCTATTCCAGCTTGTTAGGATTGGGCGCTGCCCTGGCTAAAAACTTTATGGACTTGCTAACGTTAGCTAGCTAGTTAACGTCGTCAGCAATGTTCCAGCGGGTTGCACATAATTATAAGGCAGCTAGCTAGCTGTCAGACTTGCTTTCCAATTTCCTCATCTTGTTCTTTATATGGCTGTTCACCTTAGTTACTTAGTTAGCTAGTTTGCCAGTTAATATTTACTAGCCAATTTGCTAGTTATTTTGCCCAAGAAGAAACGTTAGATAACTAGCTAACGTTAGCAACAATCACAAATGTCTGCTTGTCAGCTGAGAAAATGCTAAAAGATAAAAGCTTATCCGGCTGCTGACCTGTAAACACGTGTAAATGTGGCTGTGTCATCAGGCAACTTGTTAAAGGTTGGTGAATGGGCAGGCTGGCTAGTTATGGAAAAAAGTACATCTAGTTAACTAGCTATACACTGGCCACAGGCAGTTGGCATTTGGAACAGCCATTTTTACCAGCAAAAAACAACTTCCCTATTTAGAAAAGGCGAATCGAATGAATGGGCTGCAGCAGGAGCTATTTCTAGAGCGCCCGGTTAAACTGCCAAGAGTTTTTATTTGTATATCTAAATTGTTAAACTAGTGAGAAACATAGCTATGTGATTATTGAACAAAATCTCTGTTTGCTTCATTTACTATCATCCTAAATTAAGAGATCATTATTTTGCTATATACAGGGCTGCCAACTTTTGAAGAAAGCTTGGAGTGAGATTTCCTTTAATGAATCTCAATGCTACACCCCTAGCTGGGGGATGTGGGGGTTCCACCCCAGAAAGAAAATCTGTTTTAAACCTAATTTCCTGCAATTCTACATTTTCATGTCCAGGGTGGGATATTATATTTTTTAAATCACAGGTCAGCTGTATTCAGGATTATTTTAAAGTGTAATAGATGGGTTAGTTGACAATGTCACAAACGATGTGCACACTTCAATGGGGCAGAAGTCCATGTGTTGTTGTGATTCTGGATGGCCAGATAGCTAGCAACAATGACAAGAAGTTGCCATGTGGGGAATTGTAGGTAGCTCGGCTCAGATAGTTTTATCTTGTTCTTGGTACCATGTCTTGTTTTGATGTCAAGTCTATGCTAATATGGCAAAAATGTGCTAACTAACCAACAACTGTAACTATGTATTTGAGACAACAAGTGCTCATTGTGCAAATGTATTTGTTTTCAATAAACATTGGAGATTACATATAGTTTACATGTTGTCAATAATCTAAGCCAACCCTGTCTGTTTTGCTCCATAGTTGTGCACAACGACTTGGTTTGAGGTTACCCAAAATGTCATGCCCAAATAGTATGCTAACTGGGGGACATTGAATTACATTGGTTTTTGGTTGGAAGAGGGTAATATTAATGGTTGGTGGCAGTGGCTAACCATAGGATGGATTGCAGTCTCTCCATGTTCATAAGAAACAAATATGTAATTAATTTGGGTGAACTATCCCTATAAAATAGGACCTTAGAAAATCCTGCCTAGAGGTGGTTCTCCAAGAGGTTTGGCTGCCCACCCCTGATCTATTTTTCAACTACTGGGGGTTTGAATATGTTAATCTGACAAATTACCCCACATTCAAGAAAAATCGAATGAATATCAATCTAAAGGTGGTTGAGGCTGATTTGCCATCATCTTACTCTACATAGACAAGATATTTAGCATTTATGCCTACCATTTCTCCCTAGCAGCTTGTGCACAATACTAAAATGACAAAACAGGATATTTGAGGTAAGAGGCATTAGTCTATATTTTAGCCCATTGTAGGGGATGGGAATTGTTCTAATGACTAGCCCTATCAGCTATTGTGAAAGACCCGATAATAACATCTCCTGAAGACAAGATGACAGCCTAAATCTGACCCACCCAACCAAAACTAGAATCAGTTACACATTTGGGTTCACAATATGTTTGGGCAAAATGTTCATAATAGTTGTCAGGTCACCCTACCAAAATTCATGCTGAAAGCAGCCTTTTTGTTGTTACAGCCTAATGAACCTAGTGCTAAATTGACAATGACTAAATGAGGTGAATATAATGTAGCCTATGGATCTGGGCTAATGCAAGTGGTGGATTAACTCACTAGTAGTAGGCTATAGCCTATTATCACATGCTGTTATAAGAAATCAGTCTGGGATAGGAGTGACAGCAAATTAATTTGTTGACAATTCTGTTTATCAAAACAGCGCTACAAGTTGCCATTCTGCTCTTTTGACAAATGAGTTCATAAACTTTGATCAGCGCGTAGAACGAATGTGCCTGTCCAGTGTGCCATGGCTGCACTCCACTCTAGTCGTGAGGGGCGTTTCTTTACAAACATGCATCCAATCGCCTTTGTCCCGGTCCTTTGCTAAACCAATCACAAGCTTCAATTTGCCGTGGTTCACAGTGCGGTGGCAGAAAGATTATTGATTTCCCGGGTGAAGCTGCCGCAGTTACAATGCTCGTGATGTAGAATTGCAGGCGCATATGCTCCGATTTCAAAACAATTTGGAGGCACAGTTGAAAAGTTAACGCACTGAAATACACTGGATTAATTAGAAATAAAAGCAGTACTTAAAAAATAAAGTACCCCCATTTTCGTGATATCCAATTGGTATTTACAGTCAGCGTGCATGCGTCTGCCCACCACAAGGAGTCGCTAGAGCACGATGGGACAAGGACATTCCGGCAGGCCAAACCCTCCTCTAACGACGCTGGGCCAATTGTTCGCCGCCTCATGGGACTCCCGGTCACGGCCCGCTGTGACACAGCCTGGGATCGAACTCGGGGTTGTAGTGACGCCTCAAGCACTGCGATGCAGTGCCTTAGACCGCTGCGCCACTCGGGAGGCTACACATCCTTTTTACGTCAAATTGGTGATGTTAGTATTAACGTTCCTAGTCAATATGATGACACGATCAATTGCTTAAAGGTGCACTATGCAGAAATCGCTTCGCCATTTCCTGGTTGTTAAATTTCAAATAGTTAGCCAAATTTCAGTTTGTGACACAACAATCAGGTATTTAGTGTGAAAAATCATTGTACCATCTAAACCGCTGTGAAAAAATATTTTCCATAACAACAAATATTGTATTTTGAGCTGATTTTGAAGCTGGTGTACAAAACCAAAAGTAAAAGACGCAAAAACAAAACGTAAGAATGGGAAACATAGAAATAGTGCACATAGAACAGCTCTACCGCTTCTTCGACTTCAATGCGAATGACAGACCCATAACTCACATTTACATTTTAGCAGACGCTCTTATCCAGAGCGACTTACAGTTAGTGAGTGCATACATTTTCATAAATTTCTATGTGAATTTAGTCGGGTTGCCCAAAAAGTTACTTATTGCAGCTTTAAAACAGATCAATATCTTTGGTTTTGTACTGTTGATTTTGTCATACGCGCTGGGGGTCGCAGGACTTAGAACCAGGCTATGATTTTCTTTCTCAAATGGCACGGGCCAATGGACATTTATCATTGTTACAGTTGTATATATTATTATTTGTATTGTTTAATTCACTTCCCCCCCTGCTGCACCCCCTATGGACAAGTGTTGCATTACACTTACCGCGTTGGCGACCCACTTCAATCAATGCAACACTTAAATGTAGCTGGCTCTCTTCTACAAGTTGTCCTCTATCAGGTGATATACAAATTATTGGCAGATTCCGTGTGTTTTTTGAGCTGTGCTAGTTTTAACAGGATGTGCAACCTGATTTCCCCCCTCTCGCTCTATTGATTTCAATGTGATATTTCTGTTTTGGTGACCCCTGTATCAAAATCCAACACTCCGAAATGTATTGGACTGTCTCTGCAGGTTGTCCTCAAAAAAATATTTCCTGTTTCCATGTTTTTTTAGTTGTTAGTTTCAACAGCGCTTACAACCAGATACACCCCCCCCCCCACACTTGTCAAAACATGTATGTGTAGATTTTTATGTTTTCAATATATCACAAACTGTTTCTGCATATTGGTTATTGATTTGGACATTGGGATATTTATCAAAATGTCTTGTCAATGGAAAGCAGCGACAGCATCATTTTCAACTTAAATTTTAGGAATATGAAATGTGAACATTAATTTCCAATGGTATTGTACTTATTCAGGTAAAAACTGCTGAATTAGTCAAAAAACTGATTGATTTTTATTATATACCAGAAATCACTGAATCGGGTTTTCCCTGCCTATTTAGAAGTGTCTTGTCTAACTGATATGTTCAAATCCAGAGTCGTTTTCAAATCCAGCTTTGTTTTAGTCGTTCGTTAAAATGTCTGAAATTATGTTGGCATCAGGAAGGTTATGTTATGTTACCCATCCCTATTCTCCAGCACACAAATGATGTACAATTCGTCGGGGCATGGACTCTATAGCATTCCACAGGGATGCTGGCCCATGTTAACGCAAATGCTTCCCACAGTTGCGTCAAGTTGGCTGGATGTCATTTGGGTGGTGGACCATTCTTGATACACACAGGAAACTGTTGAGTGTGGAAAAACCCAGCGGTGTTGCAGTTCTTGACACAAACCAGTGTGCCTGGCACCTTCTACCATACCCCATTCAAAGGCACTTAAATCTTTTGTCTTGCTCATTCACCCTCTGAATGGCACACATACACAATCCATGTCTCAATTGTCTCAAGGCTTAAAAATGATTATTTAACCTGTCCTCCCCTTCATTTACACTGATTGAAGTGGATTTAAAAAGTGACATCAAACAGGGATCATAGCTTTCACCTGGATTCACCTGGTCAGTCTGTCTTGGAAAGAGCATGTTTTGTATACTCAGTGTATTTACACAATAGCCTTGGAGATTTCAGACTGGTGAAAGGGTGAGATTATGCCTGAAGGCAGGCGCCTCTGATGCATTGATCTCATCCACTGGCACTTTCACAGCAGTGGCAAGACGAGATGTCTCAGGATGAAGCCCCTGCAAAGTCACTGCGCTCCAGTTTGAGTGCTGCGTCCATCTCCTCTCCGTTCATCTGTCCCATGCAAAATGGCTGATCTATCGGCTACAATGTGACATTATACTCTGTCGCTAGTCCTTTTGAGCTGTTAAGCCATATCAGATGTCTTGATTGTAAACGGTGTGCTTTGAGCTCAATGATCGTTGAAAAAAATTATACCTGCAGAAATCGGAGACCCTTCTCTCTTTTAAAATGGACAACTAGTTGCTTCCTAGTAGTTTTTTTCTCCCCGCAATTGCATTTTGAAATGTTCTAGAGTCATGAGGGGGGAGAGCGACTTTTTAAGGCTCGCTCATTATAGCAGCCGGCCCTAGCAAAACAGGTAGGCACAGCGGCAGGGCAGACCCTTTTTATAACAGGAATCATGAGAATAATGCACTTTACTGTTTAACAAATTCATGGTTTTATCCGCCCAAAAAATGACATTTTGATTTAGGTGACCAGGTAGAATGTGCAGCTTGCACAAGTGCAACGGATAAAAAAATGTAACTCGCACAGCCAAGTTAAAGGGTCGCAAAATGGTCACAGTCTGGAACCCTGGTTATGATAGATTTGCATTAAGACATTTTTAAAATGTGAATGTCTATTTCAGACTGTAACATGCATCACGCAGGGTGGAACATCAATAACTGTCGTTTTTGATCTCTAAAGTAATAATGGAAATGACAATCTCTTCAAAATGATTGATTTTGTGTTCAGCCAAACCTTTCCTTCGAAATGGCTATCCATGTTTTGACCTAAGACTTAAACTCAGACTTTTACCAATATGTTCACTTTCCCCAAAAAGCTTGCCCATTTCATGAAACATCCATAACACTTATTTTTTTGCTTTATTTCTCCAACATGCCCATGTTTAGAAGTCCCCATTTTGGGGTATACACATCAAAAGTTTCATTTCTATTTTGTATGTCAATTTTGTGAGAAATTAAAGTTGTGATTTTGCGTGCAAATGTAATGCCCATAATGCTGGAATCGCCCAGATATAGATCTGATATGTCTCTGACAATCTATTGTGTAGTGAAAACAACATGTTTTTTTTTGTCACCTTCACCAATTTGCATAGATTTCTGACATGCATCCAATGGGATATAGGCCTACATATTATGAAACAATGCTTTAGTCGGGCTACTGTACCGCAGCAAGCCTGACTGAGCAGTATGGATATGTGCCATATCCAATGATGTGCCATGTCAGTCTGAGGCACAGCAGGACAGGGCACGTCCCATTGATTTAGCCCAGTGCCATCGACACAGTCAAACTGCCTGCTGTGCGCCTGACTTATTGAAAACCTGTGTGCATGTGCGTGTGCGGGAGAGGTGTGTTTGAGTTAGCAGCTAGGGGAGGCTCTACAGGATTACTGCAGCAGGGAGCAGATTTATTGCCCTCTCCCATGATGGCCGGCCTCTCCCTCCATAAACACGCCCGGGAGGCTGCTTTATGACAGGAGAGGAGAGGGGAGCGCCAGCAGAGACAGTTTAACGGCTGTATTTGGCACAGTCTCCAAGTCCAGACAGTGATGATACAGAGGACGCCAACTTCAGCCAGAAGCCCAGAGAGCCTACAATTTGTACCTTTGTAAGGTACATTCGTTAGCAGGTCTGCTAGGTGCACACTCGAGGAAGAAGTTGCCCTTAACCACAGATCTAGGGTCAGAATACACTACCCTTAGTTGCTTAGTCCTAACTTTAACCATTAGGGGGATTAAATGACTGACTCTGTATGTTAGGTCAGTGCCAACCTCTACCTTCTCCTAGGGCCACAGAATAAGACCCTTTTTATTTAATTGCCACGTTGTTTGTTTCCAAAATATACAATGGGAGTGAAAACTGGGGCACAGTGGAGTCCTAGATTAAATCTGACCGGTCTCTAGGGTAATATCTGTGGTTGGTTTTAAATGCCACCCTGAGCTCTCCTCTCTGGTCCCATTCTTTCAGGAAGAAGTCACAGAAATGGGACGAGATGAACATCCTGGCAACGTACCACCCGGCAGACAAGGACTACGGGATGATGAAGATAGATGAGCCGAGCACGCCCTACAACAGGTGAGTTTCCCCATTCATTCTCATGAACAGGTAAGGACATAGTTATCCAGAGAATGCAAAAATTGCTTGCCAGTATTGGGAAAAGATAGAACTGTGCCGAAAAGTGTTTTGGACTCGTGTTACAGGGTAAATCCATTTGAATTCAATCACTTTTTGACAGCACCACTTTTGATTTGAACGAAGCCTTCCATAAATATTTGCCCATTTGAAGTACTCAGTGACTTTTTGGACCTGAATGCCAAAACATTCAAGAGATAAAGGTTTTCAAAGTTAACCTATTTTGCATACCCCACCATACCATGATAAATCCTTGTCTTCATCACTGGAAAAGATAAACAGTTGAGATTGATTTAATTTAAAAGCTTACAAACAGGGTTGTCAACTATTTTATAATGTCTTGAAAAAACTGTTTTTCTAATAAATAAATACTTTTTTTGTTCATTGTCAATTTGCATAGATCTTTTTTGGTATTCACAAATGTTGTAGCTTAGACCTTATTTTACAGCATCTGAGGTTTTAGTGTTCTGCCCGCCATCGGTTGAGACACAACATGCTCTTGAATACCGACTGGGAGTATTGGCTAGCACTGAAAAGTCAGCACAAACTCTGCTCTGAAGAGCGTTAAGCCCAGAGACAACCAGATTTTTGCCTAAAATGTCCTCGTACTTTGTAAAGTTCATGATGCTGTTGACCTTAACAAGGTAGCTCCATAACATCAAAGATCCACCACCATATTTTACAGTAGGTAGGGGTTATTTTCTGCCTACGCATCCGTTTTTCGATGCCAAACCCACCACGTGGCCAAAGAGTTCTGTTTTCATGTTATCTGACTCATCTCCTTGTGGGACAATGTTTACGGTAGATTGCCAATATGAAAAGGAAACGCAACACTTAATTTCAATGAATAGTCTCTCGACAGGGAGTTCTAAATAGTGATAGCTTGACTGTCATCCGTCTTTTGTTTGTGGCCAGCAACTTTTATATAGAGATCACCTTGATTTTTCCTTGCCATGAGTTTGAAAATGACAACAGCGTTCTAAGTCCTACGACGGAGGGGCGTGTATGACAAATTCAACGGTACTGAACTAAAGATGTTAATCTGTTTTAAAGTAATTGATTTTAGTGTCATGATGACTATAAACTTTTATATTAACATCACCAATCTGAGGTAAAAAGGATGTGTAAAATCACTGTTTTATGTGGTGAAAATGTGAGCTTGTGTAATATAAAAAAACAAAAAAATATATCTTTTAATTGTCTCATACACCAGATGGGTGCAGTGAAATGTGTTGTTTTACAGGGTTAGCCATAGTAGTACGGCACCCCTGGAGCAAATTAGGGTTAAGTGCCTTGCTCAAGGGCACATGGACAAGTTTTCACCTTGTCGGCTCGGGTATTCGAACCTGCAACCTTTCGGTGACTGGCTCAACTGTCCACATTAGGGAAATTGGCGCAATATAAAATAATTTAATATGGCAAAATAATTAAACATGTCAATTTAGGATGATAGTAGTCACAAATTATTGCAACAATGGCATCTATTTTTCACTACTTTAACCATTTAGAGAGTTTAAAGGTCCAATGCAGCCGTTTTTATCTCAATATCAAAATCAAATCACATTTTATTTGTCACATGCGCCGAATACAACAGTGAAATGCTTACAAGCCCTTAACCAACAATGCAGTTTTAAGAGCGAATACCCAAAAAATAAAAGTAACAAATAATTAAAGAGCAGCAGTAAAATAACAATAGCGAGGCTATCTGGGTAACAATTAAGTATCTTACTGCGATTATTTTCAATTAAAATGGTCAAAACGAAACAAAAATGGGTTCTTAGCAAAGAGCAATTTCTCAAGCAGGAATTTTGCTGGGAGGGAAAACTGAAAACTAGCTGTTGTTGGCAGAGAGGTTTGGAAATCTCTTTCTTATTGGTCACATGTCACCAGGGAGGCCAAAATGGCATCCCACCAAAATGGGCTTAATTGTCAGGCTGTCTTTTCAAACAACTCTTCCACTGAAAGGGCATTATCATAATTTTCACAATTGCACAGTATTATTCCAACCTCGTAGTGTGGAAATGTAGATAAAGTACAGGAAAATCACGTTTTTGACTGCACTGGGCGTTTAACCCCGGGCTAAGTGCAGTGTGAACATGACTAGTGTGAGGTTGAAAAGGTTGATAATTTTTTTACATAATATGTTCACCTTAGATTAGAGGCCTCAGTTCCCATGAAGCAGTCTTGCAGTGCAGGTTCAGTGGATTAGTTTCTGCCCTGTCTGGGGGGGGGGGCGCTGCATAGAAGGCCGCTGCATAGAAGGTCACCCCTGTGACACTGTTCTTCTCTCCCTCCGCCTCGGTCACTTTACCTCGTTCTCTTTTTCTCTCTCCCTCTTCCTCAGGATGGTGGGGGACGAGGAGGACGAAGGGGCGCACAGCGACTCCGAGGGCAATGCGCCCAACGTGAACGACCTGGCCTCGAAGTAAGTCAACATCACTGACTGGATAGGTCTGGGAGAGAGGAGGAGGATCAAAATGATTGTTCCTCAAAGGTTTGGAAGGTTATGACACTTATCGAGGCTGTAGGACAGGGGTGGGCAATAATTTCGGCTCGAGGGCCACTTCAGGATTTCAAACTTCAGCGGAGGGCCGAGAGAATTTCTGGCCGATTTGTTTGTCAAAAGCAATTTGCAGGCCAGAGAAAGGGCAGTTATTTTAAAACATATAATTGTTATTTAATACAATTTCTACATACTTTCTATCTAGTTTTTTACTCAAACCTCCCCTTGCCAGATTGAATGCATATGTTTCCCACCCCTGCTATAGGAGGAGGGTAGTGATCTGGGTCTTATGAGACTGAAGGTGGGGACTCACTATGGTTTATGGCTTGGATATACTGTATAACAGAATGTACTCTTTGCATATTATCTGGATTTTAACTATTTGAGGTCAAGGGCATTTGATGTCCCGCCGTTAACATGGAGTATATGCCTAGATGGAATTTCACTCTTGGGGAAATTGACTGATCAGCTAAATATTTTTTGAGCCCTCCGTAGACCCTCTCACCAGTTGAGTTTACAATAGAGGTGAAACTGCCGGAGGGGAATTCTAAGTCATTTTGAACTCTGCCATCAAAGACCCTTAATCAATCAGCTCAAGTAATTTCTACCAGTATTGAGTGATATACTCAATTACATGCCAAGAAAAGCCGCTCCCCAAACACAAACACAGCCCCGGTGATAGTGTTTATTTACGGTAAATGATACCATGTTTATTTACTAGGGCTGTCAAACGATTTAAAATTATTCTTTGCGTTAATGCTATTAATTGCAATTCTCAAATATGGCCCTAAATAATTTTCCATTTAAAAAGCAGTCTATTGCGTTATAGGCATACTATTTTCACCATAAACAACACAAAAGTCACTGTAACATAAAGCTATTAATGCTCCCAATGTTTAAGTAGGCCTACTCCCTCTTATCAATGTTCTTGAAGTTTAACACTTGCGTACACACACATACACACTGAAGTACTGTTAAAGCTTCCGGCATTCTAAATAAGTGTTCTCACGATTTCCGATTGACTATAGGAAAAAAGAACTGGCTCTATGAATACAAAGAGCTTTTAAACCTGTCCAACAATGTTATGAATTCCACAGAAGACAGATCAGCCAGGTCTGAATTTGTGTAAAATATAATAATAAATATAATTAGATCTAGCGTAGGCTACTTATCCATGTTCTTCAACATGATCTAGTCACAAGCTGCTACTACTAGAATGTTGATCATTTGCTTAAATCTTTTGACCTGAGAAACAAAAACAGTAGCTAAATGGAAAGGATGACCTGTTCTGATTTTAAATCATTGTGGGAAGTTAGTTGAATCAAGAGGCATTCAGCCATGGCATTGTAAACATTATTTTGGTTAGCTAGCTAGCTAACATTAGCATAACTAGCTAGCTACTTCTGTACAAATTTATGTTTTTGCTGTTATCAAAAAGAATACCTGGGAATATGTTTATGGTTGAACTTTCTGTACGTTTTCCTTCAAAATTGTTGCTCAAAGCTGCGCGCATAGCGCAGCTTTGAGCAACGCTACCAAGACAGAGTGCACACTGACTGCACATGGCACAGAGTGTGTTGTGCGCTTAAAAGGGTTAGTGCGGTGAAGAAATAGAGATGCGATTAACGGCAACAAATAAATTAATGGCATTAAAAATGTCAGTACTGGCATAGTAGGAGATGGCAAACCACCTTAGCACATTAGCACACAGTCATTTATGCCCAGTGAAAACGGCTCAGATCGATGCATCCCATCAACTCTAAACCCGGGGGAATGAGGAAAATGTAACGAGAAAATGCCAAGAGTGTGCAAAGCTGACATCAAGGCAAAGGGTGGCTATTTGAAGAATCTCAAATATAAAATATATTTTGATTTGTTCAACACTTTTTGGGTTAATACATGATTCCATATGTGTTATTTCATAGTTTTGAAGTCTTCACTATTATTCTACAATGTAGAAAATAGTAAAAATAAAGAAAAACCCTTGAATGAGTAGGTGTGTCCAAACATTTGACTGGTACTGTAGCGCTGAGCGATTTAAGGCTTTTTGAGGTAGGTCGGTTTGGGTTTGATTATTAAAAAATAATCTGGTTGGTTTAGATTTTTATTTTTATTTTTACATTAAATTCATTATGAAATAATGTAAAAATATTTTTTAGCTTAAGAAATGGAAATTCCTAAGCCTAAAAGAGTGAACATTAATTGTCAAAAGATTTCAAATATTCTATTGTGTCTGTCAGGTCCACATTGGGTAGACATCAATAAAAAAATAAGAAATTACTATGAAATAGGCTTGGGCTGTATACTGTGGTATTTGTAAATATCCATGGGATGGTTTTTCAATAATGTCAATACCTTTAAAACTATTTATTTGAAGTTTTTCAATAAATGTTAATATTTGTAGCTACTTTTTAAGTAAATACCTGCAGTCAACTTGTGCAATACGTTAGGAGATAAAGCAGATCGCGTTCTTCAGTTCACCTGTCACATAATTTTACATTATGAAGATTACCGTAGTTCCCCAGAACAGTTGAGCCAGTCAGGTGTTTGTAAATAGCACAATGGGAGAAATTGGGAGCAGGCGAGTCCAGCTGTGCATTGACAGGGGTCGCGTTTTATATTGAAGGTCAAGTAGTTTTTTTCTTCAATAGTGATGAGGGATGTGCAACTATAGTTTTTCCTTCACAGGCAGATAATAGCTTCATTTTCATCAGATGACCACAGAAGTGCAATGCTATCTGGCTGGTAGCCACACAAGTAAATGAGCGTACAATGAAAAAGCAAAAATGATGCATGGCCATCATATTTCTGTTTATCATAGAAGGAATGTAGCCAGCTACATTTCCTAATGTTTTGCTTAAAGTTAATCTTGCATTTTACAGAGAAAAGTAGGCTGGCTACACTGAGAAGTGAGAAAAGTAGTACACGTCAGTCAGAGCGCTGTCTGCTGATATAATGCCCTTTCCTGAATTCTCATTTGAGTGGAGAAGTGCGACTGAAGTTACTGAATTATGGTGACGTGGGCATCATATTATGTACGTTTTGGATGAGTTATTTGTACAGCTGCCACTGCTATCTTTTGATTTCCTTGCGTTTTTTCTCCTCTCCATTTTCTGCCTTTCTGCTCCTCCCCCATCTTCTTCGAGCAGAGCAGGCATTACTTCGTTTTTATTTGATTACTTTATTATTTTAAATCCTTAAAGTAATCTAATCTCTGCTCAGGCAGTAGCAGCCAGCCAGCCAGCCAGCCAGACCATCTATTTGGTATTTTATTAGGATCCCCATTAGCTGTTGCAAAAGCAGCAGCTACTCTTCCTGGGGTCCACATGAAACATGACATAATGCAGAACATTTAATAAACAAAAACAGCTCAAGGACAGAACTATTGGAGAAGGAGGTAGGGACAGGATTGAAAAAAATAGAGAGAAACATAAAATGAGTGTGTTCATGTGTGAGAGGGAGGGGGAGGGACAAAGAAAACGAGGGAGAGTGAGAGACCAGGCATAGCTAGTTATCCTTTTTTGACGCAGTATTCCTTGCATGACACAACAAATGAAAGTTAATTGGCTTCATCACAATCGACACGCCGAAATAAATTAATGTGCAACTAGAACAGTCTCTATTCCAGCCACGACTCCCACAGCTGTCAAACCTAACGCACCACCATCATCCGAACAAGACACAGGAAATCATGGCTACTGTACAAGGAAATAAAGCACTCAGAAGCTTGTTACATTAGTGGCCGTCTGGTCGGCCATCGCTCAATCATTTTGGGTCTGGTCTAGTCTTGAAAGAAATGTCAGTTTATGCTCTGGGCCTGTATCTGCGTTGCTACTGTCTGCATCGGCTGCCATTGTTTACTTCCACGCAGTGGAAGTGCGCTCCATTGTTCCACCTCGTCCTATTCCTGCCTCAGAGATATTAAAATGGCTACTGCCTGGTCTCTCGCTCTCCCTCGTTTTCTTTGTCCATCCCCCTCCCTCTCACACACAAACACACTCATTTTATGTTTCTCTCTACTTTTCTCAATCCTGTCCCTACCTCCTCCAATCTCTTGCTTTTACTTATTCTCTCCTCTCTAAATCTATTCTCCCTCTCTTATTCTCACTCTATTCCCACCCCCAGCTCTCTGCTTCCCCAAGAAAACAATATTTTCTCCAGGGCCAATTGTATTTTCTGCTCTTGCACCTTAGTGGCCATTCAGAATGTGGACCAGAAAAAGTTTCTGACAATGACAACTGCTATACTCATCTTCTCCCACCATAGGTATAGAGTACATAGTCCTACTATTATATTGTCTATGACTCAAGCTCTCTGGCCTTCACACACAAGAATGTTAAGAAAGGACAACATTGATTCATTAGATGTGTTTCTCACAGGCAAGTCAGATTCTTGTCGTGCCATGTCCCAAACTTGACCCTGACTGTAGGAGGAGGAAAGGATTAATGGCTTTCTCTCAAGGAGTGAAAGGTTGCGCAACTGGGAAAGATTTGCCTGATTCACTGACTGAACACAAGCAGTGTGAATCTGACCTGGCCAAGAGTGTGCCGGTACTGTGCTGTCACGTCAGTTCACGCGTGCTGATGATGGCCACATCTGCTTCCCCTGCACACATTTAATTTCTGTCTCTTTGTTTTTGTCTCCCCCCTTCTCTTTCTCACACTTCTCCTCTCTCTTCCTCTGAATCACTCACTTTCTATTGCTCCTTCGCTCGCTCACTTTCTCTCTCCCCCCAGGTTGGCAGCGGCAGAGGGAAAGGAACCGCGCTTCATGAGAGAAGAGGAGGAAAGCAGTGAGGAAGAGGAGGATGAACTAACCCCAGAGGATCAAGGTGGGCCGTGTGTCTCTCTTCCCCCTCTTCGTCGTCCTCCTCTCATCCCCACCTTGTCTCTATTGCCATTGGGCGTCCGGCCCTGACCTTTCCCTGACCTCTCCCTGTGTTGTCGTGTCAAGCCCTGTGTGCTCTGATAACGGATTCTCTCAGCTCAGTGGCCACAAGCGCGGCCAATGGTCCAAACAAAGCACACTCCTGGGGACTGTTCCAGTTTACTCTGGTCCATTTTGCTCCAGACCCACACGTGTCTCTCCGCCCTTTTTATCTCTGCAGTACAGGGAAACGCAAGTCCCCAAAATATCAATTCTCCCCAAATACTGAAATGTGTGTGTGGTACATTGATGTTGATGTCATCACCATGTAGGTTTTAATGCCTTACTAGGTGTGTCCAGACACACTTCATAGAACCATGATAGAATGTTCAATATCATAGAACATTGCAAATATGGTGCTTTTTTTGCACCTGTAATAGCAACCTTGTATACACTACATGTGGACACCTGCTCGTCGAACATCTCATTCCAAAATCATGGGCATTAATATGGAGTTGGTCCCCTCTTTGCTGCTATAACAGCCTCCACTCTTCTTGGAAGGCTTTCCACTAGATGTTGGAACATTGCTGCGGGCACTTGCTTCCATTCAGCCTCGAGCATTAATGAGGTCGGGCACTGATGTTGGGTGATTAGGCCTGGCTTGCAGTCGACGTTCAAATTAATCTGAAAGGTGTTCAATGGAGTTGAGGTCAGGGCTCTGTGTAGGCCAGTCAAGTTCTTCCACACTGATCTCAACAAACCATTTCTGTATGGACCTCGCTTTGTTTCCCAAACTGTTGCCACAAAGTTGGAAGCACAGAATCGTCTAGAATGTCATTGTATGCTGTAGTGTTAAGATTTCCCTTCACTGGAACTAAGGGGCCTAGCCCGAACCATGAAAAACCGCCCCAGACCATTACAGTGCCTTGCAAAAGTATTCATCCCCCTTGGCGTTTTTCCTATTTTGTTGCATTACAACCTTTGATTTTTATTTGGATTTCATGTAATGGACATACACAAAATAGTCCAAATTGGTGAAGTAAAATGAAAAAATAACAGAAAAGTGGTGCGTGCATATGTATTCACCCCTTTGCTATGAAGCCCCTAAATAAGATCTGGTGCAACCAATTACCTTCAGAAGTCACATAATTAGTTAGATTGCACACCGGTGGACTTTATTTAAGTGTCACATGATCTCAGTGTATATATACACCTGTTCTGAAAGGCCCCAGAGTCTGCAACACCACTAAGCAAGGGGCACCACCAAGCAAGCGGCACCATGAAGACCAAGGAGCTCTCCAAACAGGTCAGGGACAAAGTTGTGGAGTAGTACAGATCAGGGTTGGGTTATAAAAAAAATATCAAACTTTGAACATCCCACGGAGCACCATTAAATCCATTATTAAAAAATGGAAAGAATATGGCACCACAACAAACATGCCAAGAGAGGGCCGCCCACCAAAACTCACGGACCAGGCAATGAGGGCATTAATCAGAGAGGCAACAAAGAAACCAAAGAGAACCTGAAGGCGCTGCAAAGCTCCACAGCGGAGATTGGAGTATCTGTCCATAGGACCACTTTAAGCCGTACACTCCACAGTGCTGGGCTTTATGGAAGAGTGGCCAGAAAAAAGCCATTGCTTAAAGAAAAAAATAAGCAAACACGTTTGGTGTTCGCCAAAAGCCATGTGGGAGACTCCCCAAACATATGGAAGAAGGTACTCTGGTCAGATGAGACTAAAATTGAGCTTTTTGGCCATAAAGGAAAATGCTATATCTGGAGCAAACCCAACACCTCTCATCACCTGAGAACACCATCCCCACAGTGAAGCATGGTGGTGGCAGCATCATGCTGTGGGGATGTTTTTCATTGGCAGGGACTGGGAAACTGGTCAGAATTGAAGGAATGATGAATGGCGCTAAATACAGGGAAATTCTTCAGGGAAACCTGTTTGTCTTCCAGCGATTTGAGACTTGGACAGAGGTTCACCTTCCAGCAGGACAATGACCCTAAGCATACTGCTAAAGCAACACGCGAGTGGTTTAAGGGGAAACATTTAAATGTCTTGGAATGGCCTAGTCAAAGCCCAGACCTCAATCCAATAAAGATTGCTGTACACCAGCGAAACCCATCCAACTTGAAGGAGCTGGAGCAGTTTTGCCTTGAAGAATGGGCAAAAATCCCAGTGGCTAGATGTGCCAGGCTTATAGAGACATACCCCAAGAGACTTGCAGCTGTAATTGCTGCAAAAGGTGGCACAACAAAATTGGAAAAATGCCAAGGGGGGTGAATACTTTCGCAAGCCACTGTATTCCTCCTCCACCAAACTTTACAGTTGGCACGATGCATTGGGGCAGGTAGTGTTCTCCTGGCATCCGCCAAACCCAGATTCATCCATCGGACTGCCAGATGGTGAAGAGTGATTAATCACTGCAGAGAACGCGTTTCCACTGCTCCAGAGTCCAATGGCGGCGAGCTTAACACCACTCCAGCCGACGCCTGGCATTACGCATGGTGATCTTAGGTTTGTGTGCGGCTGCTTGGCCATGGAAACCCATTTCATGAAGCTCCCGAAGTACTGTTCTTGTGCTGACGTTGCTTCCAGAGGCAGTTTGGAACTCAGTAGTGGGTGTTGCAACAGAGGAAAGACAATTTTTACGTGCTTCAGCACTTGGCGGTCCCGTTCTGTGAGCTTGTGTGGCCTACCACTTCACGGCTGAGCCGTTGTTGCTCCTAGACGTTTCCACTTCACAATAACAGCACTTACAGTTGACCGGGGCAGCTCTAGCAGGGCAGAAATTTGACGAAGTGACTTGTTGTAATGGTGGCATCATATGACGGTGCCACTTTGAAAGTCACTGAGCTCTTCAGTAAGGCCATTCTACTGCCAATGTGCATCTATGGAGGTTGCATGGCTTTGTGCCCGATTTTATACACCTGTCAGCAATGAGTGTGGCTGAAATAGCCGAATCCACTAATTTGAAGGGGTGTCCACATACTTTTGTATATATAGTGTATGAGACATGGTAAAAAGCACTCATACATATTAGATGGGCCATCAACTGAAATATGAAATGTATTTTAATATTAGATTATTTTTAGATTTTCTAAAGTATGAGTGACCTGGATTTGAAGTAGTTATTCCCCCCAGTGTGAATCTCCCATTATAGTGGTGCCCTTGCAGGCTAGCACGCAGGACGGACACTTTGCTCCAATCCTTTTTCCAGCTGACCAACTCTCAGTAAATATGCACAACCCCCTATTTTATTTATGCTGCAAGCACCTGAATGGAGTTCATTTTGAATTCTACCTGAATGGTGTTGCTTTAGTATTGACCAGACATCATTTTAGTTTAAAATGAGTTGGATAAAATGTGTGCTTAGAAGAAACAGCAATGGAATTGATTGGAGTGACATTGATGTCTAGTAGTAACTATTTACAAAAAATAAGCCTCGCCTGCCTCTTACAGCACCTTGTGCGGCTGCAGTTGCAAGTCAGCTTTGAAAATGTCTCTGTGTGTAGTAGTAGTAGTTTGATGCTATAATTGGAAAGCAGTTATATTTTTTTAACAGTTTTTCGTATCAGAACCATGTCCTTGAAAGTAGATTTAGATTCTACTGGAACTGTTCAGCCAGGATCCTCATAAAAATTGTTTGATGTATTCGTCCTTGAAGCGCCATTTGAGGACGAGCGTGTTAAGACTCCCCCTTCTCTTTAAACTGAAACACCCCTTTTAGCTTTTGAACGCTCCATCTGAGCCTCCCCTAACATAGCTCTCTATCGCTGTGTTTCCTCCACATAGACAGTGTAAATCATGTTTACGCGTCTGAGTTGTGCCTCTCCTAGCCTCCCTCTGCACCACATACCCTCAGTCTTTCTCCATCTTTCTCTCTCACTCACTCTCTCTCCCCCTCAGCGAAAAAGAAGCAGTTCCAAAGGATGAGGAAGATCCATTACAACGAGGGCCTCAACATCATGATGGCCAGGCAACTCATAGCCAACGAGTTGGCGGAAGATGAGGATGAAGAGATGAGGGATGAAACTGAGGACATCAACGTAGACCCTCCGCAAGACGGTAAGAGAAATAGGGGTACTCAAATCTTCTTAATCCAGGGAATTTCATATGGTGACTAATCAGAAAAAGAAAATCATGAGCTCTCACTAGCGATAAAATGATTGATACACAAACGGTTGGTCGTTGACGCTGTGTGGGTGTCTTTTTTTTTCTAGCAACAAGCCGACCGCATGCTAGGTAGTGCTAGGTGTCAACAGCTAATTCCTCACAGGCTGGAAGCTAAAGCGAGCCTCAATTGGCCAATTGCGCCAAGATATCGCCAAGCATGTGCATGATGTTCAGCTTTCAAGTTTTTATTAGTTGTATGTACATGATACACATGGTATACATTCTCCAACTAAATGCTTACATGCGGGTTCCTTCTTGACAATGCAACAATAAGAAATAATAAAATATATGAATAAAAACAAAGTAAATGGCTCAGTAGAATAGACATTTTAAGTATAACTAAGATAAGTTAGATAAGTGTAAGCTCCACACAGAAGGTTACCAGGCCCTGATTTAGTAGGCCCTGTGTGTCAGAGGTCAAGCAGTCCTCAGCAGGGGATTGGTGTGGTAAGTTGGGGAAAAGGTTGAAATGAGAACTGTTCCCACTCCTATAAGACTACTAAAATATTAGCATTTCACATGTTTCTCTGTTAGATTTGCTGTCATATTAATTAAGACTTAAAGTGATCTCACTCACATAGCTCTCTTTTGATTACAGCTCTGGATTCCTAGAGGAGGAGGAGGACGCACCACCTCTCCTGTCTCCAGCCTGTGTATTGGCTAATGAAACATTTAAGAGACACTTAGCTACGTGTGCCGGGCAATAGAGCACACGGACACCGCTTCACAATCTTCCGTCAAACAACCCCTGTTCATGTGCGTGTGTATATTTCCCAGAAACACTGTAATGCAAAGCATTTCGACCCTGCTGGTCCCTTCTCTTCGTTGCCAAGAGTCCCTCTCAAAAAGTTGTCATCGCCTCAAAGGAACCACACCTAAAGGAACTGAGACCTAAAGACTGTTATAAAAGACTTATTATCAGCGAGGACTCCTGCCTCAATCCTTGCTCGCTCGCTCGCTGCCGTCTGTCCATCTATCCCTGCTTCTCCTGAGCCCCTGGCGAATGCTGCCGGAAAGAACAGCAGCACCCATTGGATTTCTCATTGGATGAAAGTGGTGGATAATTATGCTGGTGGTGGTAAGGAGGTAGGAGGATGTTGGTCTCTTGCTTTTTGTCTTGTTCCTCCTGTCCCCATACTTTTTTTTTTTTTTTTACCAAATACCGCCAGAACCTTAATTGGAGAAATCGGAAACCTTGATGAGCTAGCTGCTGTTTTGTTTCTCTGTTTCCTCCTCCATTCCGGTCTTGGATTTTGGGTTAACTGGTATGGATATAGGAACGGCAGACTGCATTTTTAACCAGCCCACAGGGCATCTCAATATCCAAGGTGACCAGCATTCGACTACACATATTTACACCCACTATAGGATTTGGTACAGATGCATGTACATGTGCACTGACTAATAGGAATAGATGTTTCGAACAAGGTACCATTCTCTTAATAGGGTGGCCAATGTACTGACACTGACAGCGAAACCAATTTATTCTCATACAATAAAATTACAATTTATTATGTATTGCATTGTGATAAGTAAAGTTGATATGCAGATGGTCAGGCTTGCCATTATACTTATGGAACCCAGCTGTATTATGCATGGCTACTAAAGCCTTGTGGCCATCAGCACTAATGCCATGTTTGCCCACTAAGCTAATGAGGGATAGCATTGGGGAAATGAACCCCAGAGAAGGTTTGTAGTACTGATAAGCAGGTGTGTATTTACTAGGAACCAAATGGAAGCAAACGGGCTGAAACAGCGAGTGACTAATCTGCACATTGTCCACTAAGGAATACACCCCAGGTCTGTGTCCAATACATTTTAGTCATTTAGCAGACGCTCTTATCCAGAGCGACTTACAGTTTGTGAGTGCATACATTTTCATACTTTTTTTCATACTGGCCCCCCGTGGGGATCGAACCCACAACCCTGGCGTTGCAAACGCTATGCTCTACAAACTGAGCTACAGAGGGCCAATACAATACAATGTCAATGACGCTACTGACTATCCTACGGGGGGGAGGGGGTAATCGGTTGAATGGCTGCATGAACGGCAAGATTTCTGGGATATGTACTGTAGTTGATATTATGCTTTTTGCGACCTGCTACCTTTGTAATCGGCTAGCTACCTCGCTGACAAAAGGAGTGATATCTGGGCAACCAAGACAGCTATTATGTATTATTAATTTATTCTATGATATTTGAATCATAGCACCTTGATCTACATGTGAACTTTTGAGAACCACTGTCCTCCCATGGTAACTTTAAGTTTCTCTTTCTAGAATGGGGACATAAGAAAAAAGGAATTGTTTTATCAGGACATGTAGAGATGGTTTCATTTTTTCTTCTCAGAACTAGACTGTCGAACCCTATCGCTTCACCTGTCTGAATGGCCATAATAGGCTATCCATTGGATTCTGCCCTTACAATCCCAAAAGCTCAGTACTGGATCCTTTTGGAAAATACAAGACCCACAGGAAATACTGATTTGATACACTGTATGACTGTTCTCACTTTTTTTTTTTAACACTTGAATATTAAGGGAAGGCTTATTGACAAAAAACAACAAGTTAATTCAACACGTTAAGAGTAATTATTTGAACTTATGAATAGCTTTTTGTAAAAAAAAATCTGGACTTAAGACAAAAGGATGAGCTGTGAATCAACTTTTATGACATGAACCCTTGGTGGTTATACAAGGCAAATGTGCCTATATAGTGTATTTATGTACAGGCTAGCTGGTCGATGTCTTGCTCCTGAGTGGCGCAGCGGTCTAAGGCACTGCATCTCAGTGCTAGAGGCGTCACTACAGACCCTAGTTCGATTCCAGGCTGTATCACAATCCGGCCGTGATTGGTAGTGCCATAGGGCGGCGCACAATTGGCCCAGCGTCGTCCGGGTTTGGCCGGGGTAGGCCGTCATTGTAAATAAGAATTTGTTCTTAACTGACTTGCCTACTAGTTAAATAAAAATAAAAATGTGTCTAAATGAATACCTGTGCAGTTCAACTGCTTGGATTCCCCTGCCTATTTGTTGTTTTGCTGAATTTTTACCATGTTTTCTTTCTTTACTAGGGAGAGTGGACTAAGATTCTGTCTCACATTATAATTTTTCTGTCCCCAAATAATGGGGACAGATTTTTTATTTATTTTTGTATTTTAAATGTGCATGTTTTTAATCATAAGAATGTGTTTATTTTTGTCTCCCGTAATTAAAATATGCTGTTCATGGATCCATTTGCTTTTTTGTCTTGTTTTATGTGGAACTATGTGGCCCTTCATTTATTATTTACTTTTTTTGAGCCAGGTAACTTTGCATAAGATCTCAGTACTTATATGTGGCCACTAGGAGGCAGTAGTCTATAATACATCTCAGACTTTCATGTTTACTAATGATATAAGGGGAACTGCTGAGTGTAAAGGTTTCTAGTTCTGTGGCTTCATATTCTGTAGTTTGTCCTTTGTATTATTATAATATATTGGCAGATACGTAAATTATGGGTAGAATACATATTTCATTGAAAGCTAAATATGCACTACTATGTGTATATACTACTAATCCTCATCACTATTTGTTACATTTTCCATATTGGCTAAATCAAGTTGTCAATTATGGAGGACTAAAAGTGCCACAATTAAATAAATAAATACACCATTAAATAATTACTTAAATGTGTCATTAATTAATTAAAATTAGAATTAAATACATAAATGTGTAATTAAATGTATCATTAATTAATTCAAATACCGATTCATTTTATGTAAAATACATATATAATTATTTCACTATTTACATTTACATTTCATGATCCTGCATTGCAGTGATTCATGAATTACTTAAAACTGTCAAACTGACCCATCAAAGTCAGTGGGCGGGGCTAACGCGAATCTAGTCTGATCCATTGCTTTGGTCTGAAGTAGAGTAGGCCAACCTGGATAGAGACAATGGAGGATCTCCGTGAACTTTCCAGGGAGTTGGTTAGAGACATTTTAAACTTAGCAGAGGATGTAGAAGCAGGACCTGCTGACATTATCCGGAATTGATTTGTCTTGGCTTGATGCAGAGGGTAACCAATCAGGCGTTAGGTTCCGCCTACCAACTTTTGATGGGTCAGTTTGACAGTTTTAAGTAATTCAGGAAGCACTCCAACGCAGGACCATGAAATGTAAATGTAAATAGTGAAATTATTATATATGTATTTTACATAAAATGAATCGGTATTTGAATTAATTAATGATACATTTAATTACACATTTATGTATTTAATTCTAATTTTAATTAATTAATGACACATTTAAGTAATTATTTAATGGTGTATTTATTTATTTAATTGTGGCACTTTTAGTCCTCCATAGTCAATAAGGTACGGTAGGATACTTGGAAAAAGGGAAAAAACGAAGTCCAGCCTCTAGTCCTGAAGAGAGCGTTCTTATTGGTTGTTTCAAGTATCACTCACGTGCGTTTTTCATGGATCAGGAAGAAGTAGCGCTTTTCTTGACACGATTATATTATATGTCGATTCACTTTAGTGTTTGTGTGAAAGAAAAGCCTCCTCCCACTGGCTGCTATCACCTAGCTAGTGACCTGTTTTTTTTTTTTCTTCTTCATATTGAATTTGACAAAATTCTTCAATTTTTTTGTATTTTATTTAAATATTTATTTTACTTGTTTATGGTTACATTGTCGGGAGCCTATTATTAGCTAGCCAGCCATACAGCCAGGCTAGCTGGCCGAGGTCTTGCGGATTGATAGCCCAGCTAGCTAGCAGCGGGTAGCCAAGTCCAGGGCAAGGGGCAACTGCTTTTAATCCCCTATTTTTACTTGTTAAAGAAGATGAAGATAACGGTGGAATTCGAGGAATGTCTCAAAGACTCCCCAAGATTCAGGTAGGCTAAGTGACCTCTCCTCTTCTTTGTTCCCTCCTACACGATAAGTCATGGTCTTATGACGGTAC